CGACACAACTAAAAATAAGCAAACCACCACACTGAAATAAAACTGGTACTTGCCACGAAGGCGACGAGCAGCTTTCAGAATGGATAATCTGATGTTGCGAATCACCGACATGTACGACATGTACTTCAACATCCATGCATGGATTTAGGCATTTCTACAAACACACGCCATATCCATTTGTAGTGACGACCAAATTACACAGTTCACAATTATTCAGCGGCACGAGTGCTTTGAGTACCTCAACGCTAAAAAACTAAGCAAGGGAGAAACAAAAATGACATTACATCACAAGTAAACAATCTATCACAAACTTTGTGGGGCGAATAGTGACTTTTTGTTTCGATGGGCGCAGTGCAGATACCGAACCAACCAACTGTTTATTTGCACAGCGTCATTCCCTCAGTCAGACTGCGAAGAACAGACTAGTTCAAATCAATTCGACAACAAATGTCGAATTTGAAAGGAAGAGTAGGGCTTGAAGCAAATCAAAGTGAAACGTGGAAACGAGAGCCAGTCTTCGCGGGCCTGAGACGTTTGCACGTCAAATCCAGGAGATCGCCTGATATTTTAAGGCACTTCCCTGAAAGTTTTCGCGAGTGGGCGACTTTGAGGACGGGTCCTCATAATAGCAGGGTGTTCCTCAAAGTTATCTCGGCGTTTCAAGGGAGTTCCTCAAAGTTTTCACATTTTTCTCAAATCTAAGAAAATCTCCTCAAAAAATCAGACGTTCTTTTTACCGTGTGAATGAAGCCTCGACTGGCAAATAGCATCAACGATTGTACACTTCTTTAAAATAATTTTACTGTCTTTGAGGCTTTCGGTGTCTCCGGTTCAATAACTTTACTAGAAGTAGGGGTCCTAGGCGTTCCAAGTGCGTCGGGGCGGTTCACAAGAGCTAGGATTCACAAGAGCTAGCGCCGCAACAGCTAGGATCCACAAGAGCTAGGCGTCGCAAGAGCTAGAGTTCACAAGAGCTAGGCGGCGCAAGAGCTAGAGTCCACAAGAGCTAAAGTTCACAAGCGCTACAGGCAAATCGGCTGTTACCGTTTGCCGACTATACTCAGCGGTTCACGTGGGAGCAAGTGCGTAGATCGAGGGTCTGTGTAGTTGTGCGCATGCGTGCATGGGTTGGTTGCGGCTCACTATTTTAGCTAATATTTGGTGTTTTGATGGCGGAAAATAAATGAGTGTCAAATTTTAACATATTTACTCCCACCCCTCCTTCAATCACGCTTCCCTGTCCTTCTATATATACTTTACTGTGTTCTTTAAAACGTTACCTGAGCACGTACTCCTACGTACTCATACAGTTTGTACGGCCCCCGTCGGCGTTGGACGCTTTTTCTATCTTGAGACATTATACTTTACATGTGAGAACTACCAACAATCCCAGCCCAGCACCAAGCGCCCAGACCTTGCGCAGACAAAACGACAGACGACATCTGGGCTGGGCTGAACGTTGACCTTGACATCACGGGGAAGG